AGTTTGATAAAGCAATGACTAACAATGCGACATCAATGCGCCGTGTAGTGATGAGTCCGGTCAAAGAGTACATAGACAATGGAAATGCTGACGTTTTGCGTTTAGATGGATTACGACTAAGACCTGTAGATGACGAAGGAAAAGCCCAAGGGTACGCTCAATCTCATTCAGTACGGTCTGAYGAAGGATATCACAGCCACACTTACCACGACGATGCACCCACACCACCTGAACATCTATCCGACTCTGATGATAGTTCCAACTGCATTTTGGACTACAGGTAAGATATTTCAAACAATTTTCYATCAGGTTCGCATCACAAAATACAACTTTCCTAGTTACGTTAATTATTGTGTATTATTCAACTAAAATAAAAAATGATTTGTTTGTTTAGTAAAAAATCGAAATTACCGAAACCCGACGAGGAAGCAGTTGAAGTGGAGACTAACGAGTTTCTCAAAGTGAAAATTAAATTACGCAAAGCATCCCAGTACAGAAAGGAATCGGATCAACCACCAAAAGAGCAAACTCCGCCACCGATCTTGGTCGCCGAGCCAGTGATCGTCGTCCGTTCTCAGTCACCCAAACGATACGCAGAACCGTCGTCGTCCAGTGCGCCATGCAGCAGTGACACGGTCGAGTCGCTGCCGAAAAAACTCAAGCTCGATGCACCCGTCGTGCCACCAACGCCTTCGGTCATCTATCAGTATCCCAGAGACCAAAAGTCGCTGTTGGAGAACCTTTTGCTGCAAAACAAAGATTCGGGCCCACCAGCCGCCCCTGCGCCAATCACCCCGTCGATGACGCCTCCACCGCAAATGCCGGTCGTCGACCCAACGTACATACAACGCAGTTATGTCAACGCGTCCGTCAGTCCAGATTCGTCTACCAAGGTACTGTCGCCGTTGCACCAGATGCACCGCAGCCCACCACCGCCGGCAATACTCGTCTACCCGACTCCCGCTGGCCAACAGATGCAATACATGCCGTACCACCACCACCAGACGCATTTATTCCCGCCGCAGAATGGTGGCTACCAGTGCCACTACTCCGGTAACCATCCGGTGGAATCCAGCGCCAGTCCACCGGCAGGCTCCATGTCACCGGATGACGTGTCACCGTGTGGAAGTCCCGGCAGCACCAGCAACTCGCGCGGGTATAGATCCCTGCCCTATCCGATCAGCAAGAAAAACGGAAAAATGCACTACGAGTGCAATGTGTGCCGCAAGACGTTCGGTCAGCTGTCCAACTTGAAAGTGCATCTGAGAACGCACTCCGGCGAAAGGCCGTTCAAATGTAAGACGTGCGGCAAGAGTTTCACGCAGTTGGCCCATCTGCAAAAACACAACTACGTACATACCGGTAAGCGAATTCACCGYGTTTTGAGTGCATAATGCATAAAATTGTACGAWGATAATAGTGATAACAATAGCTAATTGTACTGTCTGTTTAATTTTACAGGAGAACGTCCGCACGAATGTGATGTGTGTCAAAAGCGGTTTAGCTCCACTTCTAACCTTAAAACTCACTCGAGGCTACATACCGGTGACAAACCGTTTGTTTGCGAGATATGTTCGTCAACGTTCACTCAACTGGTGCATTTAAAATTGCACAAGCGCATCCATACCAACGAGCGACCGTTCACCTGTCACTGTTGCCAAAAATCGTACATTAGCGCCAGCGGATTGAGGTCAGTGCTCATTTTTAATGCCAATTATTTCCGTGACGGTGTTTTAACGCGGAAATAGTCACTAACGGTGCATTTTATTTTTTTTGCCGACTTTAGGACCCACTGGAAGACCACTTCTTGTAGGCCACCGTACACGGGTGGCAAGGAAGACGCAGCCGAACAGCAGATTTCTAGTCCCGATTACCAGACGTATCATCAAAACAATTACTCTAACGGTATGATGGAACACGCTGACGACACGAATCAAAACATTTACGGTGGACCACACGTTGGTGATAAACACGACGACGACGATGACGACATGTACGCTCATCTGCGACCACATCATCATCAACCGACAATAACGCCCGTCCAACCGGAAGAGGTTCAACGACCATCGGTTATCGAACAGAGGCACTTTATCGAATGCACATAAAGWTAACASACRATTATTGCATTCTCTGACTAAGGATATTAACTGTGTAATATATGATTAATTGCAATGGCCGCAACAAAAGAATTCGACCACCATTATCATTAGTGGGCCCCCTCTCACTCACACAAACTTAAAAGGCTAATTATTAAAGACGTAATTTATTTTCTGACGAAAATTGATAAGCTCAATGAAGCCAAATATTTATTAATATGAAATTTTTTCTATATAAAAAAGGAATTCTTTTCTTAGAGCAGAAAAAAAACTGCATTTGAATTTTTTTTTTTATTTTAGCGGTCAATTTATAGACTTAGCGAAATGTACTGATTGTTAATTTTGTATAGATGTTTAGTTTTGTACTTCTAAAACAGATATTATTAATATGTTCCTAATTATGTTTCGAGTTTTTTCTATTTATGTAGACTGTAAAATGTAAAAATATAAATAAATATATACATAATACATATATTATATAATAATTAATTAAATTAATACTATTTAGCTATATTATTGTATGGTATGAATGATGTTTTGTTGATCTCAGTTATGTTTTGTAGATAACGATTGTGTTGAATATTGGGAAGGAATATTTTGGTTGTAATATTTTTCTTTGTGATTTGATAATGAGGGCACTAATTTTTCAAGGTTATGTTTTTTTCGTTTTAGTTATGCAAAAATAAAAAATAAATCACAGTTAAAAATAATATTATCATTATGCCTACATTATAAAATCGTAATTTTSTAATACTATTATGTGAACTGTTATTTTACCTTTTACTATATAAATACAATATAATATAATATAAATTATTATGTTGAATAAAATACATAATGTGTTTTATTTTATTTTGTTTACTTTTTTATGTTTAATATAAATTTCTAAAACGCTGATACTACCAAACAGAAGTTATGTTGTCCGTTTTAAATTCATAAGCAATAATGAATAATTTCACTCCAAAAAATGATTTGAAGTAAAGATAATTTTGCCAAAATGTTTTCATAAAAAAAACACACACACACAAATAGATGCATGCACTTATAATTCAAACTTTATTTTAGTTAAATAATTTTGAAAACTTAGAAAATGTTGAAAAATACCATTTCAAGTAATTTCATACATACGTATATTTTTTTGTTGCAATTTTTTRGTACAAATTAAATATTGTAACCATCCCATGATACCATCCACTTAGAATCTACAAATTACATTTGTATTTTAAGTAATGAAACGTTTAACAACATTGATTATAYAGACAAAACAAAATATGCTACGTGGTACATAGACAATATCATTGAATCGATGCTGTGATAAACATATTATATGAGTACTTTATTTTCAGAAACTGTTTTTATTTACTGTACAATACCATAAATTGAAAAAYGTTTTACTCGACTTAATAAAGTTTATGTAGTGGGGATAAAACTATATAACGTAAAATATGTTAATTAGACATGCACTTGCGTTATAAATTGTCAAAAACTTATTATATTAAATAATAATTATCAAAAATTGTATATGTTATAATAATAAATTGGAGTAACCAGGTACTTATTAATACCTACTCTAAAATGTTTCATTTAAAAAATAATAATAAAATATTTGACTTTTATGAATGTAGAARATAATTTTAAAAGTACCTATAAATACAATATGAACAAGATAATTTTAATTCGAAATTCGTATTTATGCATATATATTATATACATGCAGTACAAAGCGGACATTATATAACATATATAACGATAAACAATATATTATTACTTTCATTTCAAGTTTCAACAGTTAGTATTGACGATCTGGTTAAAATTAAACTTTGAACGTTCATTATTTCACTTTTATAATACTATATATAGATTATTTATTTGTAATATTTTATCGTTTATGTAATATGCACTATTCAATTATAATAAAACCAAACAATTTTGTAAAATTATTACCAATAGCTGTTAAACAAAATTAACGCAAATTAATGAAAATAAAACCTATACAATTTGAATATCTAATAATGTAATATTTTAGTGAATATCCAATAAGTTATGTAATTTTATAGGTTTAATATAATGTGTGGCAATTGTATTTTATTTCAAAAACAGTGAACTTGCGCTAATTCTATTTTCCATATAATAAGTTATTGGTTTTAAAAATTACCTTTTTTCGTATTACTATTATATTAGTTTATAATCAATACACATACTTATTCATATTCATACCTACTATGTGTAGAATGTGGGCAGTGTGGCTAAGATAGAAATATAATCAAAATAAAAACTTTTAAATCTATGCGAGTAAAATATTTAATAAGGAACATAGTCGCGCATATATAGACACCTATTTATAACCTATTAGTTATAATTTAAACTAAGATTTTAGACAATTTAAAATGTCCAGTTGTGTAACGACGGATCACTATATATGTAATACTGTAATAGGTACCTATACTTAGTCGTAATATGATATACGAAATAAAATATAAGCATGATATCCAATAGCAAAAAAATAAAACGAGTTAAACATAATTTAATTTACAAAATTTACACACATAACATAATCGTTTTCTTTGTTGCTGAACACACAAGGTTTTTGTGCGCGTTTATTTGAGGGTGGATGCGGGGTCTTGACACAATAATGGACGTTTATTTTGTAACGTAATAATTGTGAAAATTATGTGTAGCGGACCTATCCTCCGGGGCGTTTTTATTCCTTCTCATTCCAGGTCCACCCGAACACCATTGTTGAAGCGGTGGACCACTTTCTAATTCGTGTTCGATTCGACTTCGCGGGGACGGCCGACTGCAGACGTCGGAAGGTGGGAATACAAAGTCGTGAACATTCGATCGACGGGCCGCGCAGACCGCCGCGAGTCGCAACCGCATACCTATATAAATTGGAGGACCCGTCGTCAGAGGACCATTCACTCACTGCCACCGCACCTCCGCACAGTGCGACGACAATATTGTTGTTATTATAGTGTGCGCAAAATCGTTTAGCAATAGAGATAAGTTTTCTTCAAGATTTTGTTCGCAAATTCCGTTTCGCGTCTACCCTGTTGTTTCTGCACAATCGACCGCGTCCATATAAAATGATGATCGCACAGGCAAGTGATTTAATATTTTTTTATTTTATCGTTTAATATTAGGTGCCTGCGTGTTAGGCACTGAGTTAGGCACATTCCCATTATGCATTCCAATAAACTAACGAAAATTCTATGTACTGAATTGCATCTTGTCTACGGTGCAGTAATCGATACTGCACTCTCTTTTGCTGCGGTTTCTATACGTTTTAGCTTCCTCAGGCTTGTTCTCGCACCCTCAATTCCAGTCGTCTGCCTCGCGTATAATGTATATTTTAATTAATCATATATTAATCACTTTACAGTGTCTTCTGTTGGCCGGAATCGTGGCAGTGGCTGTATCCGTGCCAGTCACCCAGGAAGAGTACGCCAGGTACATATCTCAACAACAGGCTGAAAAGGGCCAACCGATCCGCAGACCTGTTCTTCTGCAGGTTGTCCCTGCTGGTGGTGCAGCTTACCAACAACCGGCGACGGCGTCACCTCGACCAGCTTACCAACAATCTGCCGCTTACCAACCACAACCCGCCGCTTACCAGCCACAACCCGCCGCGTACCAGCCACAACCCGCCGCGTACCAGCCACAACCCGCTGCGTACCAGCCATCATCCTACCAGTCACCCCAGACCTACCAGCAACCAGAAGAATACCAACAACCAGAACAACAGTACCAGCCATCTCCCAGACCACAAGCACTGCGCCCAAAGGCTCCGCCCAAACCAAAATCTCAAAACAGGCCCGAAAAACCGGAAGACGAAGAGAACGACAACAACGTAAGTGGTTTTATTTTTTGATATTATATGGCTTAAAATATATTATTACATATGAAAGAGACGTCACATTAACCCAGAGGTATTCAAACTGTGCGTCGCGGCTCCCATGGGCGTCGCGAGAGTTTGCCAAGGGAGCCACGCGTCAAAGCACCAAAAACCAATATCATACCTAGGTCTTGTATAATTATTATAAATATTATTTGCAATCATTATGGAAATTAAAACGACACACCTTACGATTCGACCATTTGAAGTCTTATTTCTAGTCACTGTTATTATCACCCATATAGCATATTTCCCATATTGTATCCGTGTTTTGTTTTAATTTTTTCATAATAATTTGGGAGCCGTAAAAATATTGTGAACACCCAAAGGAGCCGCGTGCTGAAAAAGTTTGAATACCTCTGCATTAACCTATAAATACTAGCTGGTAGATAACAAATTTCAACATGAATGGGAATGTAAAAATAGTTTTGACACATGAATTATATTGAACTAGTTCCCATATAATAATTTATAAAATATCTTCAATTTTAAACTGCATTTATTATTCTACTTCGATGGATAAATTTAAAATTTGAAATCTAATAATCTTACAAAAAAGTAAATTTTAAGTTTTTTATCAATTRACTTTGGGTATCTTTTATACCTTATGAATGTTTGAATTCCTATATATTTAAATTGTATGTTTTTTATAAGGATAATAATATGAAGATTATTGGTTTTAGTGAATCATAAAATTCTTATATTTATATAACAAATATAAATAATTTAATATAAAAGTGTAAATCATAGATTAATAAATGTATAAATATAGAATATGATCTAATACATTAGTAAGCCAATAGGTAATATCATATGCKCGTAGTAATGTATACATAATATTATTGTAGATGAATAATTTAAACTTTTTTTCCTAGGCAGTGATATAATTCTAAGAAAGTTATGCTGATGTTATTTTTTAAAATAGAATCTCCATAATCATTATATTGATAATATAGACGGTTATTCAATCGGCTGTAGGTACTATAGTCACTTATATAACTTTCTTTCGTTATTATGCGGGGATACAATATATAGGTAACATAATAATAATAATAATATATTATACCACACACAGGAAAGCAAAATACGTAGTTTGTAACGCGTTATTCGAAAGTGGTGTAACTTGCGGGGGCGATTGGGTCGAAAAAACTTGATCCAGTTACGATGCAACAAAAATTAAAAAACAAATAAATAACGTATCGTTATTAGAAAGTAGTTATATTTATACGTATATAGGGGAGATCATAATGTTGTGGACTTATTATTTAATAGATTAATGTAGGTATAAGAGAGTTATGAAATATTGCATAGGGTTTATTATAACACCGATGTGTGTATTATATTTATATACCTATAGGCGCATGTGAAATATGTTATAAAGAAATATTGAAATAATAAAATTTAAATTATTACCGGACATGTGCACGGGAGTGCAGTTGTCACGACTTAACCCGACCGTATCGGTTGCATAACATCAAAGCTAAGCAGTGCCTCTGGATCTAGACGATCATTAAATCCGTACCGTGCGTGCAGCAAATGGGAAGACGTTCACTTTTGTTTCACAACAGACAAATTGTAACAACCGATGTATATAGACAATGAAAAAACTTGAGAAACGCTTACGTGTATAATATAATAAATGTGACCCAACAGATAATGTTACTACCATTATCGGGATGAAAAGTTGATAGTAATTTTAAAATTGTCCTTATTTCATTAATGCAAAGACTTTTAATCGTAATGGTTAGTAACTATTACTGCTGTGTTTGTGGGTGTTCGTATAATATAATTGGATATTTGGATGACTATAAATCTAATTTTAACAAAATAAAAATATCAATTTATTATTAATATTGTCATTATAGGTAATTAATAAAAATTAGTTGGTACTCATATACATACAAATCATGACGTATTAGTATCGATCGTGAARCATTTTTGAAATATTACAACTTATACCTTTAATTTTTAAATGAAATTTAAAAACATGTCATAAAGATTATAGGCTTTTAGATACTTAATAGGATTTTTACTTTACACGATGGACTAGTAGAATATATTTAAACATAAGAATATTAGATTATATCCAATGAAATGATTACCGATCACTTATTAGACTTCAGCATGTACATAAATTATTTTTAGTTTTATTCTGAGGATATCATAGACAAAGCTTGAAATTCATCTATATAAATAGGTATTTATGTAACTATGTTGAACTAATAAAATTGAACTAAGATAATTTAATCATATTATAATATATAATATTACGTTTATTAATTTATCTTATTATTCTTGTTTGTAATATTTCTATTATTCCTATGTATTAATGGTACTCATGTTTTTGTGAATATGAAATACAATCAGGAAACATTAAAAAAATAAATAATTTAAATAATCGTACGTAATATATTATGYACAATGTACATCAACAATTAATCTCAATTTTGAAAATAATAACGAATAATTATGCATTTTAAAATTATATTAATTTTATTATAGCCTAATGCTCAATACCAGTTTTCATTTGACATCAGTGACGACGAGTCAACCAACTACCATAACCGCAAAGAGCAGAGAGATGGTGAAAAGATTTCTGGAAGTTACAGCGTCGTCGATTCAGATGGATTTATTCGTACAGTCACATATACTGCCGATCCTGAAGAGGTATGTATGACAATCGACAAGTAAACKSGTACTACCAACACGTTTTTCGGTTTATTGAAAATTCAACATATTTGAATTTAAATGAGCTTGATTTRAATAATGAATATTGGTGAGAAATTAATTTTTGATTTTTTTGAGAATGTTATCTTTTCGTTACGAAATCGTAATGACATAATGAGWGTCCATAGTAAATTTACTAAATTTACTATATATTTATATGCACGGTTTATTATAATTATCTAAATAAGCTTATATTTAATTCTGTGATTATATCTAAAATCAATAAAAAGTCTTTATCCTTTTCTCGTTTCGAATTCGTTCGTGTTTATTAAATATAATTTGCATATTCTATTTAACATTATTAATAATTAATTAAATATTACAATTTATGTTTAAATGTATCATATTATTATAAAGAAAACTATGTTTATAAAAAGAATGATAAAATTATTTTTAGGGATTAAATTTAAGAGTTTTAGGGACTGGGGAAATTCAGTAGCCTCTATAAACGTGCACTTTTATAATATATACCTGAGTTTATTCTAAGCTATCACATTGTATAGACATTCGACATTAAATTTTCTCACTTAAACTAAAAGATATTTAGTATAAACATTTTTTAAACATATATTAATTGTATGTATAATATGATAAAATTATCATACATATTTTAAACGTATTATACAATGGTGTGATTATTCAATAACTTGTCGATTAAACATACTTTTTATACCTCATGAAATACGACACGTACATTATATCAACTAAATCAATCATATCGGACGTACGACGTAATTAATGTATAAATATTAAATAATAATATTATGTTATTTTATTTTTAATTATAATTATTAATATCGTACTTAATTAATACAGGGATTCAAGGCTGAAGTAAGCCGAGAGCCAACCAACATACATGTAAAGATTCCCACCCCTGCACCACAAACGTCRCCAGCACCACAATACAGATTGCCGGAAAGAAAGCCACAGCAACCGCAATACATCACAGTCCAGGTACGTGATAGGAATACAATATCAAGGAGACAAGGAATAGGAAACAAAAAATTGACTTAATAAAAAACCGTTATGCATACTAATATTATTCATTGGTATAACTCGATAATTTAATGGTCGGTGTGATTAAAATTGATCAATATAATTTTTTTGATACGGAGACYAACCCAAAATGAATCGATTTCTTGTATTTTTATTTTTTAAATAATTATTTTATTTTTATTCTATATACAATGCTTTAATCTTACAATTTTATAAATATATAATCATAAATAATAATCATACATAGTTATCAGATCCTGCAAGTAGTTATTATTCACCCTCTCATCCTGCAACATACACATCACTGCATATAACAATATCCGATTAAAAAATGTTTTTCTTTTAAACACCATAAAAACGATATATATCTATAAAATATAATGATAATAATACTATGAATGATACTATAACAATAATATATACTACAACAATTAACGGTTATCACTCATTTATCAGCCGCGCGAGTCAGATCGCGATGTCGATAATAATATAAACATTGACGATTTGTGCTATCTTTCCCGCACAGGCCAGCGAACCCGAGTCCGCGGTGCAACCAGCCGACCCGATTTCCGGTTACTACCGCAGTCCGGCGCCGCAGCAACAGGTCAAGCAGGCGCCGGCGTTGCACCGATTCGCCGCGCCCAGGCCACAGTCAGCTGGCCACAAAGCTAGCGCATTGGGATATGCCTCGGTACCGACCAACCCTTCGCCGATCATCTATCAGGCGTACGATCAGTAATAACAAATGCACAACAACAACAACAACAACAACAACAACAACAACAACAATTGTTATGTCGCAGCGGACGAGCGGCTAAATCATCTCATACCCGGAACACGCGCGCCTCGGCGTCCCAACCGCAGTCGGCCATCAATCCGTCCTGGTCAGCACTCATGTCCAGTCCGTACACGTAGTCGGAATGGTTTTGATGGCTCTCCTGGGGTTCCGACGACACACTGTAATCCCATATCCTATACATAATAATTATTGAGATAAATTTAACGCACGAAATATCATTAGTACAATATATTATTAGTATTATTGTGAAAATAATTATAATGTAAGTTGAAACATGTGATGTAGCAGCATATCATAGTAAAATTGCATTTGTTTTTATTTCATACATTTACCGTATTATTATAAGTATTTGTCTTTAAAAAAAAATTAAATATGTAATTTTTGTGTATACATACTTTGTTGTGCAATCAAATGAAGCCGAAACCAGCGAGGACCAGTGGTGAGGAGAACACTGTACTCGCTTCACTGCGTCCTGGCAACCCTGTGGTTAGAAAAACATTTTTCAAAAATCTGTTCTAATCGTTACGAATTCACGACGTTTATYGTCGTAAATAAATCGTCTATATTAAATCGGAAGTATATAATGACCTCGAGCTGGAATATCGGCGTCAACAGTTTCCGTATGTCCCATATTCTGATCAACCCTTCCGCACCGCCGGTGGCCAATACGAACGGGTAAAACTGGTTCCACGAACAGCTCAATATCTCCGCTTGGTGTGCATTTATTTTGACACTCGGCCGCAGCGGTGACGAACAGTCCCAGATGTCCAACATCCCGTCGCCTTTAGGTATATACATTTAGTCAAAATTACAAAACAAAAAAAATAATAATCGATTTCGTAATCGTAAATATAACGTATAATATATATTATTATATATATAATTTAATATTCCGATTAATGGCCCATTTTGTTAGGGATGTTTTAATTGTATACTAAAATATAACTTATGGGGAGGCTTTATATGCACTCTATACTATTGTTCAGTCATTAACCACCATAATCTTCGTATTAATGAATAACACAAAATTTGAAATAAAACACCCATAACATGCATTATGACAATACATATTATATTTTGTAGAAATCTGAAGCATAATTAAACTTATTAAACAATAAATAAATACGATCGATGGGAGATAAGGATCATTTATCACCTAAAACAACCCCATCCCTGCTATGCCACTTGATCCTATATCTATATGACAAAACGATATTCATATATGCACACGACTGCACCGTTTTACGACCGATAGCGTATCATTTTGCACTGCATATACCTGAAACTGACGCAAAACAGGAAGACAAGAACGGAGACCACTTTGCTTCGTAAACCAGTCTGTCGTGTCCCTTGTACGTCGTCAGCGAACAATACTTGTTGGGGTCCCACTGGAAGAAAAAAAATAAAACAATTATTATAACACTAACACCATCATTGTTGCACCGAAAACGATTATGGYAGTAATATTTATATGTTTTGTTTTATTCACGTACAAGCTTTACCGAACAGTCCCACGACGCGGACAACAAAAAATCGTCTACGGAGTTTTGACACCAATCTACRCCGCATACTTCTTTCTTGTGTTCGTCGAACGTTCTGACAGGTTTCTGCCGGACAACCGCGATACGATATTAGTGTTATACTTAAAATTATCTTTGATTATATTATATTATGTTTATGATATTATATTATGCATTACTTGTGATGGATATTTATAATTCCACATCTGCACGCTTCCGTCTCCGCTGCCGGTCACCAGTAAACTGTACACCGATCTGCTCCACACTACGTCGAACAGACCGTCTTCCCAATGCATTTCATATTTTTTGGTTATCAGACATCTATCCTCGTCATACGTCACCAAAAACAAAGTTCCACCCCCTTTAAAACCGTAATATTGTGACGTGGCTATGGCTAGGAGGTTTGATCGATTCGGTGAAAATTTTACCGAATAGCCGTGACGGTTTTCAGTCTTAAAAGTGGACATTGGAAACTTGAATCTAAAATCATTTCAACATTACCTTAATATCGATCGATTATAATTAAATGTTATACATTATCAGCATATTTCATTGATAGGTATAACTATATTTAAAAGCAGTGATTTGTATTATTTTATTCGCGTGCCGCCGTGCCGGGCGTGCAGCTAAATAATTATACGATTCACTATTCATTAGCTTCGTTTCAATTGTATAATAAATACTTCAAAATGAAACGAAATCGAAAATGATAATATTAGGACTACAATTTATATCACATAATCACATTCATCATCAACTAATTATGATCAATGGATTATAACGTCTCACGTGTGTAATACTCTCAAACAGCTCTAGGAGTAAATGTTTGTCTAATGTTTGTAATTGTAATATTAATAAATAGATATGCTCAAATGCTCAATAGCTATTACTCAATATAATAATGTGTAATAATACAGTAACAGTGACTTATGAAGAATATTGAATTGAATAGACAAGTGTGAAGTGGGCTAAAAATCTAACCGGCTAAACGTAATTATACARTTGACGAAATCGTGATAGTTAAACAATCTATGAAAAAATACTACATCATAATGTAATGTCAAATAGTTGTGAGCACATAAGTCTTACATTATTGGCTACCTACATAGTTAATTAATAATTTAAATACTTTATATTTAAGATAATTTCATTGTACATTAATGGTTAAACAACAAAAATCATGTTGATTAGCATAGTCATAATMATGACTACACATAATTGTTTATTTTATGTTTTGCTTTGTAATATATTAATGATAGTATATGATACCAATACGACGTGTATAATTATTCATAGTTAATAAATTATATGATAATAATAATAATAATAATATATAATAAGATAAAAATATAAAATAATTTTTTTAACATTTATTAGAAAAATATATTTTGGCAATTAATACTTAACAGTAACACTCGACTAATATTTTAATTAATTGATCCAAAAACTGGTAGGACTTTTTATAAATGAATTTCTATTAAGATCGGATAAGGTGATGATTTTTTTCGCTTTGTATCAATTACACACCTCAGAAACAGAGCATATACATATCATTTTTAAAAAACATTTGACAATAATACATTTTAATACAATATATTATACATATTAAACCATATTATTAAAAATTACTCACAATCATTGATACAGGTACTCAAGTATTAAAARAAATGAAYATTGTTTTTAATAATTTAATATATCAAAGTTTGCAGGATTTATCTAGTTAAAACATACATAATTAAACCACATACAACCGATACCTAGTAATATGTACTTATATCTATACATGGCTAAATAATATACTAT